CCAGGGCAAAACATGGCACACAGGAAGGCGACAGTGGATTTCTACATCATAGCTTGATCTTCAGCTTTTAAGTGGAAGCTGTGCTTTTATTCCTAAAATAGCAGTTTGTTCCAATTAACATCTTTCTGGTAGCAGAAAGGGAGCAATGAGTAGAGTATGGTGCTACAGAACACAGAGAAGGGAACATTATCTTACAGAGCTCTGGGGGTTTGTCCTCCAGATCGCCCAAAATTCTTTCCAAGTAACGTGTTAAAATATCRGTAATGCAGTGACTCAACCATATAAACAGATGGAGTGAGTAGTGTGCAGCCAGTGATTCAGCTAATGTACAGCTCTGGAAAATTCAAATTTGATTTAACATGAGGAGAAATATTGAACAAAGCATTTCTAATTTTTCCTTTTATTTAAGGAGACTGTAAGTAGGTTGGCTTTTCTGCTGAACAGAGGGTGGAAAAACATAAACCAGTAACAGCTGATTCAAAGGATGGCATCCTGATCCTTGCACAGCAACTCCTTGCAGTAGTGCTGCACTGCAGTGCCAGCTCTTGGTCTGAGACCAAGCCCTGCTGTGGGACACAAGCTCTTAATTTCTCCAGAGGGAGTGTTCCCAGCCGAGTTACGCAGATCTCCATGATCTAGTTCAAGCAAAGCTTAGCATTTATTTAGACTGAGTTAACTCATTAATTTCRGCTTTAAAAATCTTAAAAGCTGTATTCACTATAAAGTAAATCACACGTTTTTTTCCAGACTCCTCCTATACCACGTAAAGTTGTGGCTGCAGATGTAAATGTGCTRTGCCTGTGAACAGGGCACACACCAAGGCTGTTCTTTGGAATGCTCTCCAAACAGCCAGAGGACATCTAAGGTGTTGACTGTCTTACTACATCCTTTTTTTCCCCTTGGAGTGATGAAAGGAGAAACTGGTTTTCTGCAGAGGCCTCCCATTGTCAGGGGATCAACACYTAAAAACTCACCTGATTTTTATGGAAATCTAGGGGAAAGACTGTTCTCTTTAGATTATTCCAGTCTTATCACTGCAATTACAGACTTTATTCCACAAGTTACAAGTACAGATTACTGCCACCTGCATGGAAGCTCATCCCTTCACCTCTATGTAAATGTTTCCTTTGAAAGCTTAATTATGAAAGAGTTGACACATACACAGTCGAGAGGCAGGAGAAGTTATCTGARCAGGTTAAATGCAGATGAATATTATGTTTTGCACACAGTTGTAATATTCATAACGGGRTAATTGCTGAAGGATGTCAGAGTACGCTTAATTCCTCTAGCAGCTGTATGTGGGATAGAGTTTTGCCCCCCAATATACGTACACAATCCTACTGTGCCTAAATTGATATTGAAAGTGTAGGATCTCAATAGTTTAGTGWGTGCAATTATTTGGGCCAGCTGAGAGGAGCGCTCTTGCTCTTATATATAAGGGACTGTTCTCAGTAATCAGGTAATGTCCTGACCCCACAAATATATCTGGGCTTTAAGTAATAAGCTATACTTAATAAGTGTATCTAACATGTACAATGTGAAGAGGTTAACAGAAGTCACAGAATCTGAGTGTTTTGTTAGTTGCCTGAGTATTACCAAACCTCTTTTTTATGTGTTTGTAATTTGCTGTTACAAAATATTAAAACGGCATTTCATTCACCCTGGCATGTGGCTTTTGCTTTTTCAGAAAGAAAAGCAGCCCTCTCACCACTGCATTGAAGYGAGTGCACCCATACCAATGGGAGCTCAGACCATAAAACCTCATCAGCTGTGTAATAATCCTTATAAGATTTGTAGTATGGAGAATTTCCTCAGGAGTGCTGTCTTCCATCCTATGGATTGGATCCTCGCTCTTTTGCAGAACTGATGAGGGACAACACTGTTTGTTTGGACAATAAGAAACAGAAAGAAAAGGCACCTGTCCTTTCCCTTTTTGTTTCGTTTTATTGGGGATTTTTGTTGTTTGCCTTTGGATCACTCACCTCAGTTACTTCTTCATTCTTTTCCCCTGCTGCTCCTGTTTTCCAAGTAGCTGGCTTCTCTCAAGGGCCCAGTAATTTTTAGGCCTTTTCTTAAATCTTCATCTTCTGGACACATTTCAGATGTGATAGTTTAAAAATTAACCTTAAGCTTTAAAAATTAAGCCTGMAGAAGCAGTATCAGAGACCACTGAAGACAAATTGAAAAGCAGGGACATCTTGACAGTGAGTGGGATCAGAGCTTTCAGTGAGCTGGAAGTCATGAGTTTGATCRTGAATGATTTTTAGGTTACCTTCTTGTGAGAATGAGATTTATATGGTCATGTCATGTAGGTACAGGTATATCTGAGGGCGTATCCATACAGCTTAATGATGTTTGAACCTAGTGGCTTACTGCAGGCAGGATTAAAGCTGACCAAAATAATTTRGTTCCTGTGACTTCCATGAAATAAGTTGTGGAGCASGGGGGATGTATAATGTTCTCCCCGAATTATGGAAAATCTGTAGTGGGCAACAGCAACTTTTGGGCAACAGCATCCACTGACTAAAAATCACTGAGTAAAAAGAAGCCTTAAGTAAATCACAACTTGGAAGAGAGTTCGGTTAAAACTTGCACTTCACATCCTGAAGTTAACAAACCATGGGACACAGACGTGTGGGGATCCAGGTTTCCTTCATTCAGGTCACAAGATTTAAGATTGAGGGAGTTAAAATATCTGTTGAGATCATAAAAATGTAAGAGGCTGAGGAGAGTAATAAATGAATTAACTTTAACTACAAAGGCAACCAAAAGATGGGATTACTGGGGTGAGGGCGGAAGAGCAGATGAGGAATTTCTACACCTGTTGTGCGTGACAGGGCAGCTCAGGAAGAAAAAGTGGTTGCCAGGAAGGGAAGGAAAAGCAAAGGGAAGCAGRAGGAGAAAATAAAATTCAAGTTGGGAAAGGCATCAAGAAAGGCTTTGAAGATCACTGAGAGGAGAGACTAAACAGAAACTAAATTAGATTTAATTTAATCTGTGCGTTCTCAGAAGAAATCAGTGAACTCCTATCCAAAGAAGTGCAGGCGAGGCAGAAGGAGAACAAAGGGGTTGCAGGGAGAATCAAATTGAAGAAGAGGCAGGTCTGGGCATGGGAACCAGTTAATTTTAAGCACTGTTTAGTGAATGTGTCACTAATGAATGTGTCAGGGATAATGAGGGCTGAAACTTGTGGTAGAAGCAGCCAACCTGGCCACAGGAACTGTATGAGAGGTGTTGTTACACGACACAGGAGCGGAAACAGAGAAAGATGCTCTTGTGAATGAGACAAGCTAAGAGTTGGTTGTTTTTTTTTTTTTTTTCCCTAATCTTTTAAAAATAAATCATTCCCATTAACACTGAGTGCTCTAGATTAGCACAKCTCAGTTCCACTCCCACCCTCTTTGCTTGGTCACAAGCCCGATGTCCCTGTGGCTCTGACTGTGCAGGGAGAAATGGCTGGAAAAGGAACTCCTGTGAAGGCTCCAAGCGGTCTGGAGAGGGGATGGAGCAACTGTTTTGTCAGTGGACAAATGGTGGCAGTGTGCACAGGGTGACCAGATTCCTGAAGCAACTGTGTTGGCTGAGCAGGGTCTTGACACAACAGTGACGTGCAGAGGATTGAGGGCAGACCTGGTCTGCAGGAACATTTAAGTAGCTGTTTCTATTGCCAAACTATGAGCCAGATCTTTTTAAAGTGGCCTGGCCCAGGGAAGTGTTATATAAAAAAAAAACAAAGAAAAAAAAAAAAGAAAATAGCTGACTTGCTACTGGAAGGGTGGCACAGACCATGAAAAAATGCAGGGTATTCCCAGTTTACTGGGTACAGGATAATCAAGGAGATTCCCAAGGGCTGCTTTGCAGAGCGACTACAAGACCTGARAGTAAACCTGCTTTGGGTTTAAACTGAGCTCCCTAAAATGAGATTTGTTCTCTGTGTGTCAGCTTCTTCCTCCCCTTGCAAACCCCTGCTCTCAAAGGCAGCGAGGAGTTGCGGGGATGATCGTTCAGAAGTCTTGAGAATGAGGAACAAGGTGGAGAGGACAGATCATCTGTGACATGGGTGAGTCAAAGACATTCCAGCCTTTTGCACAGCAGAGACACTTTTAAAATATCCCAACAGCAAAACGGCCAAGCCACAGGRCCACCTGTCTGAAACCACATTCCTGACACTCTCCTGCCCCTTTACAGGAATCTTTTGGGAAAAGGGGCAATATTTAACAGTGGTAATTCATGGGGGAAAGAGCTGTGATAGTGCTGGTTCCTCCCAAGTGGAGTTTCAGAACAAAAACCCATGTGTGATCAGCATTTTTATTTCAGGGCACGGCAGGACCCGAACAAGACTGGATCCATAGGGAGGATCCTGAGGGATAGCGCAGGGTCCGCCCTCACTCAGATCCCAGTTTGGGGGTTTTGGGAGAAGAGGGGACCGCAGGTTTGGGACTGGAAGGGTCACAAGGGTCAGCCGCGCAGTTTCACCCCACTCAGGACGGAGGAGAAGCTGCTGGGACGGCCTGTGGGGAGCCTCCACCGTGGCTCCCACATTTGGGACTCCCCGGGCGACCCCCGCCCGCCCCAGGCGGCTCCCGGGGGCACYCCACAAGGCGCGGTCATTCACAGCCCCAAAAACCGAGGCAAGGGACTGCYGAAGCCCGGGGAGCCGCTGCCTGAAGCGTCCCCAGGGGGAGCGGCGAGCGCTGCCCGAGGCAGCCCAGCGGCAGCCCGCCATAGCGGCCACCTCTCTCCCCTCATGGCGGAGCCACTTGGTAGCTCCCTCCTCCCCCACCCCCAGCAGTGGTTTCACCCCCCCGCCTCACACACRGCGAGAGGCGTGGCCTCACCCTCCCGAGTTTCCCCGCCTTTTTTCCATATTCATGAGGGCGAGCCGGGCGGCGCCAATGCGGAGGGGCGGTGCGCCCAAGCCCCGCCTCCAGACGATGAATATTGATGAGGCGCGCCGTGGCGTCGGGGGCGGCGCGGGCGCTGATTGGCCGGGCGCGGCGGCGCGCGGTGACGCGCGCGGCGGCGGTGCGGGTCCCGATTGCTGCAGCCGCTTGTCAGTGTGACGAAGATTGGCACCCGAGGTAAGCGCTGTCACTCAAACCCCGCTCCAGCCCCGCCGTCCATCACGGCGCGCCCGCCGCCCGGGCACGGCCGCACCGGGGAAGCGGCAGAGCGGCTGGGGAAGGGGCGAGCGGGGCGGCGGCGGCGAGGGGAGAAAGGGGCACCCGCTCTCCGCCGCCGCTCGCACGGACCGGGGGGTTTAAGGGGCGGTGGCGGGCGCGGGGAGGGGAAGGAGGGGAAAAGCGGGGAGGGGTGGGGGGGGGGGGGGGGGGGGGGGGAGCGAAGCGAGGAAGGTTCTGGAACGGCCGCCGTGCGCCCGTTGTGTCCCGGCGGGGGCGCGCGCGGGGAGGGGACGCGGGAGCGCGCGCGGGTCCGCGCGGAGGAGGAGGAAGAGGAGGAGGAGGAGGAAGGAGATGAGGGCGATGGGATGGGGGGGGAGCGAGGGAGAGGAGGCGACGCGATGCTTAAAGGGGCAGCGCCGTGCTGGCCGTTCCGCGGAGGCGGGGGGGAAACGGGGGGCGCTCCGGGAGCTCCACCGCCGCCGCCGCCCCTCGCCGCCGCGGGCCCCAGCGCCGGAGCCGGGCTCGGACCGCCGCGGCAGCTGCATCCCGCTCTGCCTCCTGTGATCCCTCTCCTGCACACCTGCCCTGCCCCGGGGGGACAGCGGGAAGGSGATGCGGCGTTGTCCCCCGGCCGCTGTCCCCGGTTTGGGGATGCTCCCCTCGCCTCCTCCGTTCATAGAAAGCRCAGCCCGGTCGGGGCAGCGTGCGCAGAGCCGGTTGGGGTTTCCTCCCTCGTTTTAATCTTTTCGGTGTGACCCCGTGGTCTCCCGGCTCGCTTGTGAGCAGACACCTTCCCGACAGCCAGGCCGAGGGTTCCCGGGTGTTTACGCGGCCGCAATTAGGAGCTGAGACTTGACACTGCCCAGAGGCTCTGCCGGGGATGTGTGTAAACAATAATAAATCAAGCGCTGGTTTCATCCCCAAGTATTGCCTCAATGAGCCACATGTCCGAGGTCTCCGTGGAGCAGTCCATGGCTTTCCCTCATTCCCACCGCACCGGAATCTGTCAATTAACAATATCACAATATAAGTAGTTAAAACGTTTGTGTAATAATTCACTGAATAGCTTATTGCTATTTTTAAATAATGTATTAAATATTTTCTGTAGTTTTGAATTGTGATATATAGTGTAATTTCAGAGACAGGTCACAGTATGTTTTTTTTTTTTTTTGGATCATCTGCTGTTGCAGTTTTTGGTCCCTTTTTGCAGTTTTGTCTAAGGAAATTACTAGTGTGGTTGAGGGAGGGAGAGTCCCAGAATGATTTGGGTTGGAAGGGACGTTAAAGATCMACTTGTTCCACTGGGCCATGTGCAGAGATGCCTTCCACTATCCCAGGTTGCTCCAAACCAYGTCTGACCCGGCCTTAGACACTTCCAGAGGTGGGTCATCCACAGTTTTTCTGGGCAATTTGTTCCAGTGCCTCACCAGTTTCACAGTAAATAATTTAATATCGCCAATGAAACTCTTAAAAGTGAATTAATTGCTGATTTGTTGGCCTTTTTTTTTTCCTCATGCCCTTAAGAGCTGCCCAGGCAAGATTCATTTTTGTCCTTACCCCTCTGTGGAATATGTTGTGTGCATTCCATTAAACAGATGACAGGAACAGTGAACATGGGCATTATGTTCTGGATGCTGGAAAACACTTGGGCCAAGATCCTGTGGAGGATAGCAAGAGAGTGTAGGTCACTTTCAAAGTGTGCTAAATGTCTCATTTATTTTTTTTTCACTAAAAAATCCTTTCTTAGTTTTTAAAAATACAAAAACAAAATTAAAATAACATGCACATATAGTTCTTGATTTTATTCTCGAGTGTGCTTTTGCCTAAAATTTCACCAGTGTAGATTGTTTGATGAGGAGAACTGTAACAACTATGGCTCAGGATATCCACACATCTTGCTGTTCTCCGTGGTGTGAATACACTCAGAGGTTGTTCCCTGTCCTCTATGGGATATAATCTGTTTATGGTCTGCCTGTGCTATGGGGTTATATCCCTTTAGCTATATTTGTATGTGTGGTTGAAGTGAGATGGCTTCTGCAGCTGGATGGAGTCCTGGTTTTAGTTCTGTTAGCTGCCTGTGTGAATTTTATGGATTACACTGAGGCACGAAACAAATTGTTGTGATTGTATCAGAAATCCATCTTTACATGTATTTCCAGGCAATGACATTGCTACAGTATCGAGCAACAGCAAATGCATTTTGAGTACATTTTCCGTCAAGTGAATTTGCAGATTTTCCTTTTCAGAGTTTGTGTGTAGCCACATACAGAATCATTCAAGTTTTCATAAATTTTTGAGGRAAAAAGCCCAAAACATTTCACATAATCTGTTCCAAATATTTCTAATTATTTTTTCATGTATGTTCTGTCTTTAATTTACTTTATGAACTGTACAGTGTATTTTTACTCTTGACTGTCACTGCTTGACATACTTTCTTGTCATCTCATAATTAAAGTATCCACAGGAAAACTTCAGTGTAGATTTCACTGTGTTTTCTTTTCATAATCTCCAGTTAAGTGGTGAAAAGCGGAGCTCAGTGTTCTTCAATCACAGAGTAAAAATGAGAGGCTGTTACGCTGCACTGGGATTTTGGTGGTTCACATAATTTCTCATTGATATCCTCAGTGGGTTTGAGCCATGCTTTTTTTTTTATTTTTTAATCTGTGCTTTTGTGTTTTGTAGGGCTGAAAATTTTCTTGTTACCATTTCCCATGTGCTGATAGAAAACCCAAGAATTCTTCACATTTTGAGTACATTGTTGTTAGAGTTGGTGGGGATTTTATTTTGCATTTGGAAATTTCACTTTGGCATGTAAAAASTCAATCTGATATTAAGTAATTTACAGCTTGATTCATACTCTTAATCTCAATACAATTTTAAATACTAGGGTTAAATAAAAATAACATTTTAAAGCTAAAACCTTGCAGTCTTCTATGATTAGGACTGAAAGGAGTTTAGAATGAATGAAAGACCAATCTAAATTTATTTAAAGTACTTTAGTCTTATGAAATGGGTATGTTTTCTAGAAGCTGCACTTTCTTCTTCAGAATTTTGCTTTTCAACTGTATTTTTCTCATGCCTTTCCCCGTGCTGTAAATACATAAAGCCCTAATAATTCTGATTGTTACCACAGCAAGTTTAGGAGTGTTCAGGAGCAGTTCAATTTCCTGGAAAAGAGTAACTTTGGTGATATTAAGCCCTGTACTAGTGGCTGAGGGTGAATGATCCACAGAGCCACCACTGGCAGTGGAACTGCCTGTTCTAATGGCCATGTTCTGAATGAAGCAGTTCAAATTGTATTTCAGAATATTATGTCGTGGTCTGGGAGCCAAATGTYGCCTCTGCAAAACTGGCACATATGTGAAAGCGTACAGTAAAACAGATTAATATTTTTATTTTGATGTAAGTAGGACCAAATTCAATTTTTTTTGTGTGAAATTAAAAATTTTGCAAATGATACTTCTCATGCAGCAGCAGCAGGTTACTTTAGTCTCACTTGTTCAAAGAGTCTGAGATTTAAAAATRAGAGGTCTCAGAGGGGTTTATTTTGCCACAGCTCAGTGCTGTACAAAATGTAAAACAACTTACTGCTCTTCTAAGCAAGAGGGTTCCAAGAGCAAGGAGAAAAAGCTGCTGATGGAGTTCTTTCATTTGTTTACTTGGTGCCAGATGTTACCGAAATCTTTTACCCATGCCATTATAGATCTCCCCAAGGTAACTGAACACTGAAGTATTCACACTTTTAGCAGGTTCTTCACTTTGTTTACTGAGGTAATTTCATGGTAGAGCTGTGGAACACAGGATTCATCAGGTGGAACTGGGGGTGGAGTAGAAAATAAAAAAATGGCACCACAGATCTAAAGTGCCAATTTTGTTGTTATGGAGCTGTGACATGTTTTTATGGAGTTGGYGAGGGGCAGTAACTTGGTTTCCCTGCCAGCAGTGAGGAGACAAAAGGTCACATATGGCACTGAGAGACAAAAGTTGGTGTTAGAAGGGGAAATAAAGTTTAGATCTTGTTCTCGCATGGTTGGTTCTCATCCTTTACAGGAACACATTGTTTGGGGTTTGATRTGTCAGCTGCTCCAGGCCGTGGTGTTCTCATTTTTTAGTACATAGGTGTACAAAAGAGGTATTTGCTATTAAACCTGAGAGCAACTTAAGTACACAGAGAGTCAAAAGGTGATTTTTGAAAATGGGAGCTGAGAGTGATAATCACAGACTGTCCCTTACCCTGCTGTGCCRAGAGATCTGCAACTGTCCCCTGCAGCTGATGGGAAATTCAGGCAAACAAAAGTAGAATATGGCAGCTTATTTCTGGTGTACTGAAAGAGGGATCCATTTCTTTTAAACCTCCAAATTCCAATTTTTATTTTATTGGTGAGCTTTTGGAATTGCTTGTGTTTTTTTCTTGAGGACAGAAGAAGCTAGGAAATGTGGCTATACTTCACATCCTGCTTGGCTTTTTATGAGTTACATAGCAAACAAAGCAAAGGGAAAAGGATATCATCATACTTACTGAAAAATAGAGTCCAAGCCTTTTATATTTTAAGGAAATAGAGGCAATTAGAGAACAGAAATTGGAGCTTTGTACATGTTTAAGATGCCTAGAGAACAGGGGAATGAAAACGTGTGTGCTGAGTTCTGTGTTTTTGTAACTAAAGAACTTCTAGGTCAGTGTGATCACTTAATTATGTGTTCTAGACTATGATAGTAGAAATACCAGGAGTAAGATTACCTGGTTGTTTATTATAATTTTGAGATGTTTTCAAGTGGCCTATTTCTTAGTTGTACTGGAATTTGTCATAATGAGTATGTTTGAGCAAGGTTATTCTGGCAGCTTTAAAATAAAATGACTCAGCATCTTGAAAATGAAGAAAAAATACATTGATTTAAAGGAAAGGGGGATTGTTCTTAAATAAGAACATATCACCAATTGAGCTATGGAATTTAGTGTG